GGGGGGCGACAGTGGGGACAGGGTGATGGGAGGACACCCGGAGCTTGGTGAATGGGGGCAAGGCCTGAGATGGGGCAGCCTGGTCTTGGAGTTGGAACAAGCCCTTTGCAAACAGCCAACAGGAACGGTCTCAAGGTGGGAGGTGGGTGGACTGACAGGTGAGAAGGTGAGGCTCGGCCAGGGGGCTGGGTGTGCGGGGCCAGCAGGCTGCGGGGAGACGGGCTGAAGGGGTCTGAAAGCACATGGCTGCACCCGGAGAAAGATGAGCCGCCAAAGGATCTTAGCTTGAGGGCAGGGTCCAGGCAGACGGGGGCAGAACCCATGGAAGGGGACAGCAGGGACCCACAAGCTGGTTCTTCCATGGACTTGAGTGGCGGGGTCTCCGCGTGGCTCTTGCCCAGCTGGCGAGTGCGGGTGGGCGATGCACTTTGAGCCACCGGACTCCACTCCTGCGGGGCCGTGCCCGGCAGTCCTCCCTCTGCCCAGCTCCATTCTGACCCTGCTCCCCTCCTGTGTCCGTCTGTTCCTTGCTATGTAACAAGCCGCCCAGCATTCATGGTGTAAAGCAACTCTCTGTGACACCCCGTGGGTCAGGGCCTTATGGCCCAACAGGACAGCTTTCCTCTGCTCCCCGGCGCCATGGGCCCCGGATGGGAAGACGTACATGGCTGAGGTTGTTAGAGGCAGTTGGACAGGACTGAGCAGAGTAAGGGTGATGGGCCAGGTACAGAAGGTCATCAGGGAGAAAAGCCCAGGTGCCTGGCAAGGGGAAAAACTGGGAAAACAAGAACCTCGCCTCCAGGGTAACCTTTCCTCCCCCAGCACCTTTCCTTTCCTTTCCTTTCCTTTCCTTTCCTTTCCTTTCCTTTCCTTTCCTTTCTTTCCAAGATAACATTAGGCCTCAGTTGTATTTCTGCTCCGGGCCCAGAAAAGCAGCAAAACCGGACAAGTGGCACCGTGGCTGCCTCAGGACCAGCTGTGTTGACTAGTGACCCTCTGCCCTGGAGCCGACCAATCAGTGGAGACCACGACCCTAAAAGAGCCCACCTGGAAAACTGGTGAATATTCTTTGGAGCCCCTCCCCTGAGACCTCCCCTGAGATTCCCACCTGCAAGAGAGAGATAAATATCCTTAAAGCAAAGGACCCATTGTACCCAGGGGAGCACACCCGCGCCATTCCCTTCCCCACTTCTTCCTTCTGAGGGACCCCACGAGACTTGCAACCAGGGGAGCAATGGGGGCAGCTCATCCCAGGCTTAAACCCTGAGCCTGTCTCCAAGGCCCCCTTTTCTCTGACTCCCCAGTGAGCCAAGGCAGCCCAGCCAGGCTCTCCTGTTGTTTCTCCTATGACCTTCCTTGTCTCACTGTCCTGAGTATTTTTGTGTGTTAGTTTCTGTTAATTCTCACCATTGATTTTTTAGAGAGAGAGAAACATCGATTGGTTGCCTCCTGCATGTGCCCCAACAGGGGCTGGGGCTTGAACCCAAAACCAAGGTATGTGCCCTTGACCGGGAATCGAACCCGTGACCCTTTGGTCTGCAGGCCAACACTCTAATCACTGAGCCAAACTGGCCAGGGCCTGAGTGTGTTTTGCTGCGGCCAATAAGTTCCTGCTGGCTTTGCTGCACTTTGTCTCTTGATTGAAGTCTTCCCTTCAAGAGAACAAGAACCAAGGTCTCGTCATCTCGCCAGTAACAGGGTGACTCTGGTGGCTGGGCTGGGTCATCTCCAGAGTTCTGCACCATGTTGGTGCCCTGGGGGGGGGGG